AATATAACTTTGCGATACACTTAATTTCAACAGTCGCGCTATAACAAACGCTATAATTCTCAACGTACGTCTCACGTGCTCGACTCAACAATACTCCGTTCAATTACACACATTGTTCCCGTCAATTTGTGACCGTCTTATATATACAAGACTACACTATATCTAGAAGGATCCCGAGATTTAAGGAAAGGACGTGAATGTTCGAGAACGACGTGGCGTGATACTAGTCACGTGACCTCTGCTGACACAACAACCGTTATTATAGGAAGCTTAAATAATACAAGTACTGATGAATATATGACATTTAGAGAGTAAAAGTTCGTGATTGTCGCATGGTACGTGTTTTTTACCCCATTATTTAATATAAAATATTTCACAATTTTTATGCATACGGTATATGTAGTTTTAACACAAAACATAGGTCGCTGAAGTAACTTCCTTTTGCCCTAGTTTCCTATTGTTCTTGGTCATTCACTTACAGTATCACGTGTACCTTCTCTTGGGTAAAGTTGAACATACTGTTACGACAGCGGAAGTCACGTGACGCTAGTAACACTTCATGAGGTTCTAGAAAGATTATGTCCTTTCGTGAAGCCTCGAGTGTTCTCCAGACGCCCTCTTTTTCGTATATATAAGACCGGCGAGAAGTGACGGGATATATATGAATAATTGCAGATTGAAGAGATAGAAACAAATAATCGAGTCAAGTCGTAAGTAAAATGCGTGAATCGTTCATTGTGAATTATAGCGTGTGTTGAAGTTAAAGTATCTGTGGAAATTAAGTGTATTGCAAAGTTGAATTCAGAAAGAATAAACTAGTTTTATTTAAGAAAAGACTTGTATCGCTGAAGTTTCTCAGGAAGAATTTTTACGAGTAATTATCAAACGAACAGAGACGTAACAATACTATGCGATTTTTGAAAGTAGAAAGCAACCGTTTCCACTGATGGGTCAGGTGATACCTTGAGGTTGGGTAACCTCACTGTTGTCAATATTTCTGGCCATAAGCCCAAAAAGCACGAGATTGGTTGGTAATATTATCTATAAATGTGTAAAATATATGAGAGAAAACATTTCTCAGAATTATGAATGTATTTTTAACACAATGTTATTTAGTATTTAGTGTAAACATGAAGTAAATTTGTCATAATTTTCTTGGATAAAATTTTAAAACTTTAATCTGTAAGAAATCTCGCTTATAAAAACTAAAAATTAACTTAAGTTTAACCCCTACCATGATTTGCCCGAGACAACTCTGCGCCCCCCATGTTTCAAATTATTTCGGACAAACCATTTCTCACCATAATTTTAATTATTTGCCTAATTTATTGGTATGTTATCATGTATTACAATAGGCTATCAAAAAAGCGAATTAACAAATTACTTTATTTAAGCTCATTTCCAAAAATAAAAGCCTGGTACAGAAGGGGTTAATCTGATTATAATATAGCTAAGATGCTGGTAAAGTTCTTGTGCATCAAAGACAATTGAGGAATAGAGAATAAACCTTGTACCACCCTATTCAATAATCACCAACACTAACGATTTAATTAAAACCTTTTCTTACCAGTTCAAGTTTTCTACCTGAAGCTGGAAGAATTCTTTATGAATATTTGGTTGGTATGGTATATTCTATTATTAGATAATGTTTCCTTCTGTCACTTTGTGTTTAGGGGAAAACGTAGTTACAGGTTTGATATGTTTTTTGTTTCAGCCAACTCCACGATGGAATAGGTTACACTGACTTTTATCATCGTCTACCGATGTTTGATGACGACCCCAACCTAACTTATTAGTTCGCTATGTTAGTCACTCGGGCAATTGAGGGCCAGTTGGCGCCCTGTGCGAACACACTGCTTGCAATTATCCATGGTATGGGCGTGTTTATCTAAAACTCGAAGCTAAGCCTAAGCAAATTACAGGCATTATGCCCCATCTGAATGAGTCATTATTATTATTTCACCACTAAATGACGATTATTATTATTATATATAGGGTACACAGAAAATGCTAGTAGTCTTTTGCACCATAAATCCTTGAAAAAATCACATTATGAAATATCTGAATTTAATAAAATACTGTTCTCAAATAAAACTAGTTTATTCTTTCTCAATTCAACTTTGCAATACACTTAATTTCCACAGTCCCTTTAACTTAAACACACGCTATAATTCTCAACGAACGATTCACGCACTTTATCTATTACCGCGCTTGCCTCAATTGTCCGTCTATATCTTCAATCTCTCTGTTTGCTATTCGATTGTTGCCGTCACTTTATTTACCGGCTTATATACTGTAAGAGTGCCATTATAGCAACCGCAAGGACGTTTGACAAGTTCCTCGATCTTTCTAGATACACATTACTTGTTAACAGTGTCACGTGACCTCTGCT